CCCTCCCCGCGCCGGCCGCCCCCCTTCCCCCGCGGGGCCCAGCCAGGCGCGGCCCCTCTGCCTTCCCCGAGTCTCTCCCTGAGGGAGCCCCGCGGGCCCTTCTGGCACCCCAGAGCACGGGCAGGCCCACGGAAGCGACTGAGTGTGTAGTCACAACTAAGTTCGAGTTGCTCAAAATCATCGCGGCTCCAGTGCTCGGTTTCTCCCTTCTGTCTGCTTGACCAGTTGAGGTCGTTGCCCAGAACTTGTTTTTGTTAAAGAAAAATGAATCACAAAAGCGTAAAAGTAAAATAAAAGCGCACAGAAGTGTCATAGACACGAATTCTTTAGTTACAGGCATTCCTATATTCACCAGCAGGTGCGTTCTCCCAGCTGACAGGGCTGATAGCTCTTCATGAGGAGAGTAAAAGTTTTGGAGAGGTGACCCGCCTAAGTGAAGCCATATGGATGATTTGGTGGGTGATAAGCTGGATGCAGACATTAATTTCTTTGTCCGAAAAAGTATATTCTCAAAGAACTGCAAGCAGTCTTCATTGTACTTCCTGTGCTTAGTATGTTTGAAATGTCAATTTAAGGGGAATTTTGGGAACTACTTTGTTAGTATAACTACTGACTCCTGCTTTTGATAGATTGTCAGAACGGAACTGTATAGAAATTGTCACAAAGCTGATCGCAGAAAAGCAGCTGGAAGTAGTGCACACACTTGATGGCAAGGAGTATGTCACGCCAGCACAGATTAGTAAGGAGATCCACGATGAGCTTCATGTTTGTGGTGGTAAGTGTGGCATTTTCCTTCTTCCTTTGGAGTTAGAAGTTAATTTTGAAGGCTACAGAAAGAATTTGAAAGCTGTCAGTACCCTTAATCTTTCAGAAAAAGTCAGTTTGCTTCATCTACACATTAACTCACCTATTTTTATTTTCATTTCAGATCTGGGTCAAGCTTTTAGATTTTTACATAAGATATGTTAATTGCTTTATTTTCACTCATGTAGAATTTCTGCCACAAAAGTTGTATAAAAATCCTTTTGAAGGAAATTTGGCATTTTAATATAGTTTGGTACGTGGCCAAGATGTTTGGCCTTGTCTTGGAATTTCAAAGTCATTCTTCTGTCACCATTAGTAATAACAGTAATAATAATAACAGTAATAATAATAATAATAATAATTATAATAACTATAATAATAATTGTAAATTGTCATTGACAGGTCTTTTATTTTACCAATGTGAAGAGCCACCTGTATTGGAAGATGTGACTTAGGAAGCAAGTACTGTTCAGACAGCTTTTTGTCAATGGCTTTTAATGAACAGGCAGTGTACTTTAAGTTATACTTAGGGGTGAATTTCACAGCATCATATGTTTAGAGAAATTAACTTCTTATTATGTCCATACAGATTAGCCATTTTCTCACTGTTACCACAGGTTTGCTTCAGTTTGTGTTTTGCCGTTGTGTATCATACCAGTGGGACAACTTGGACTGAATTAAAATTTCTGGGCTTTTTGTTAGTAGCTTCATGCAAAGGTAGAGAGTTTTAACAATCTCTGGGTAATCATGGACTAGTTTACTTGGTCTACAGAAAAAGTAATTAAATATTGTGTGCATAGTGAGCTGTACTATATTCTAAATCTATTGAAATGTGTTTCATGTACTAAAAGTGTGTTTTAACTTTTCTCAAAGGTCGAGTTAACATTGTCGACTTACAACAGGTAACTTTGTAATGAAAACTTTATACTTCTTTGTTTTCTTCACCATGCATAGTGTGGATATGGAGTTCATGAGTTATACTCCAGCTAAGTTATTTTTTTAAAACAGTACAAATTTTATGAATAGCTGGTAGCTCATGTCAACGTACTGCAGATTACTTAATCTGTCCATTTATTGCTTTGTTGAAATGTCTCTGTTTAGTGATAATCTAGGACTTCTGAAATCATTACTGATATATAGAGTTTTTGTTTATGAGCTCTGTAAACTAAGGAAGGCAGAAAAGAAATATGTTGCCCATATAAATTTAAAGCTGTAGGAGCATGCATAATTAACTTTGCACGCCTCTTTGAATCTTCCCTCTTCCTTCCTTATTCTCTTGTCTCCACTAATCTTTGTACTACAGTACTCTTCCTCTGTGGCTAATTTTCCCTTCAGGCTTGAGCAAAATTACTTGGAAACAGAAAATGTTTCTGAAAGCCAGTTTTCTATTTTCTCTTACTGCTTTCTGGTATTTTTTTATTATATATGTTTCTTTTAACCTTGTAACAGTTGCTAAGAGAGGTTGTTCTTTTTTCCCTAAAGCACTGCTGCTTTGTTCCAAAACACAAATTTAGTGTGTTTTTGTGTGCAATAATATAAAAAAAATAAAAGCAGCTTTCCTCAAGATGTAGGAATGTTGAACTAATATTCCAGTGTTTGAGAATGATTTTTAATTTAAAGTTCTGATAAGAGGTGTTTTTTTTAGGTAATAAATGTGGACCTTCTGCACATTGAAAACAGAGCTAATGACATTGTTAAATCTGAAAAAGGTATTCAGCTTGTACTGGGACAGCTTATAAACGAGTGAGTACCTTCAGGAGAAATATGTATAATTCATGCTGTATTTATTTCTTAAAATGCAGACTAAAAATAATGTCTAACTGTTGTTGCTTCTGAAGTGAAATACATTTTTCTTGGCTGATCTTAGAGCTACTTGGTGGTGATCAGTGCTACTTTAGGCAGGTGAGGCCTATCTCAGCAAAGCATCTGGTGAATCCAGAATGTAAAGCTCCTACTGATCGTCTATGTTCAATGTCCTGCCTTTAAGAGGCTTCATTTCTTACCCAGTGGCTTTGTGTACAGCAGCCAAATCTCATTTGCTCTCTGGCTTTGCTGTCTGTCTCAGCTGTTGAAAAACCTTCTACCTCTTGTTCTACCTCACAAGCCTAAGATGCTTGAGCTAGTTATTTCATGGTTTCCAGCACACTTAACAACCACTGATATAGTACTCTTACTATTATTCTTACTCAACCCAACAAAGAGGTTGTCCTTTCTATTGACTGAGCTTATTTCCATACAAGTAGATAAATGGCCCATCTTAATGCTCACTACCTGCTTGGCTTTTTAGGCTTTTTAAAAAAAACACACATTTTGACATATACTTTATTAATTTAAAATAATTTTCATCTTATTTTTGCAAAGATATAACAGAAGGAAGTATATTAAAAGAGGTCAGTTATTCATTATGTGATCTTGAGGCTGACTTTCAATGTCACACTTAATGTGTTGTCTTTTCTTTTTCTCGTTCTTACAAAAGGAGTTATCTGGATCAATTAGCAGAAGAAATAAATGATAAACTACAGGAAACTGGCCAGGTGACAATATCAGAACTCTGCAAGACGTACGACCTTCCAGGAGACTTTCTGATACAGGTGATGAAAGCCAGCAACCTGGCAAATACAGAATTAGTTGTGACCACCTTCTTTGTTTATCTTTGCAATATCCATGGCTTTAAGTCACTATTTTGTACGAACTTAATGTTAAGATTAAATCTTAATTTTCATGGTGCATCTGTAAATCATGCTTCTGTTTTCTGCAATGTTTTCTGTCGTTAGATACCTATATATCTGATGGAAGAAGGCATGCTTAGAAAAGCTCAATTCTTCTATTTACAGGCATTATCCAAGCGTTTGGGCAGAATTATTCATGGACAACTAGACCAGGAAAACCGTGGGGTGATTTTTACAGAAGCCTTTGTGTCCCGCCATCGAGCACGCATTCGTGGGCTCTTCACTGCAATTACACGGTAAATTGCAATGCCTGCAACCACATATTAAAATATTTTTGCCATAGGTCTTTATGGGCCAGACTCACTTGTGATTGAAAAGGAAGAGGAAAAAAAAAGACCTATGGATAGATTCCCCTCATTGTAGTTCAGTTCCTGGGACCAGTTCTCAGTTTTCTTAGACTTACTTGTTAGAAATGGGGACTCTCTTTTGAAAAACAAGGGAAGTATAACAATATACAATATACTGTAGTGTTTTGGCTGAAGGAAATGGTAATCTATATAGTTCTTTTGTTACTTTGTAGAATATCTGTCCTCTGCTCCACCGCTTCTTAGTCAGTTACATATTGATGTAACTATATGTGATTATAAATAACTTTTTCTTACTAAATCAATAAATTTTTGTGTCGCTTTGTAGGCAGAGGAAAACTTAACAAAGCAGAAGCTTGCTTACAATAATTATCATAGCTTTTGTGTTATCATTTCACAGTAATTCAGAATTAAGATCTTGTAAGCTATTTTAAACATCCTGAGGCTAGGATACTATGTGGTTCTGTTCATCTATAGTAACCTCTTTTAATATACTTCCTTCTGTTATATCTTTGCAAAAATAAGATGAAAATTATTTTAAATTAATAAAGTGTATGTAAAAATGTGTGTTTTTTTTAAAAAGCCTAAAAAGCTAAGCAGGTAGTGAGCATTAAGATGGGCCATTTATCTACTTGTATGGAAATTTCAAGCAAGAGAAAGAGGAAAACATGTCAATGAAAATTGGAAAACAGTGTTAGTAAACAAGACAGGTCTTAGCTATTTCTAGAGAGCCAGGGACTTCATATTCTTTGACAAGAACAGATCCTAAAGCTCAGTCAATAGAAAGGACAACCTCTTTGTTGGGTTGAGTAAGAATAATAGTAAGAGTACTATATCAGTGGTTGTTAAGTGTGCTGGAAACCATGAAATAACTAGCTCAAGCATCTTAGGCTTGTGAGGTAGAACAAGAGGTAGAAGGTTTTTCAACAGCTGAGACAGACAGCAAAGCCAGAGAGCAAATGAGATTTGGCTGCTGTACACAAAGCCACTGGGTAAGAAATGAAGCCTCTTAAAGGCAGGACATTGAACATAGACGATCAGTAGGAGCTTTACATTCTGGATTCACCAGATGCTTTGCTGAGATAGGCCTCACCTGCCTAAAGTAGCACTGATCACCACCAAGTAGCTCTAAGATCAGCCAAGAAAAATGTATTTCACTTCAGAATCAACAACAGTTAGACATTATTTTTAGTCTGCATTTTAAGAAATAAATACAGCATGAATTATACATATTTCTCCTGAAGGTACTCACTCGTTTATAAGCTGTCCCAGTACAAGCTGAATACCTTTTTCAGATTTAACAATGTCATTAGCTCTGTTTTCAATGTGCAGAAGGTCCACATTTATTACCTAAAAAAAACACCTCTTATCAGAACTTTAAATTAAAAATCATTCTCAAACACTGGAATATTAGTTCAACATTCCTACATCTTGAGGAAAGCTGCTTTTATTTTTTTTATACTATTGCACACAAAAACACACTAAATCTGTGTTTTGGAACAAAGCAGCAGTGCTTTAGGGAAAAAAGAACAACCTCTCTTAGCAACTGTTACAAGGTTAAAAGAAACATATATAATAAAAAAATACCAGAAAGCAGTAAGAGAAAATAGAAAACTGGCTTTCAGAAACATTTTCTGTTTCCAAGTAATTTTGCTCAAGCCTGAAGGGAAAATTAGCCACAGAGGAAGAGTACTGTAGTACAAAGATTAGTGGAGACAAGAGAATAAGGAAGGAAGAGGGAAGATTCAAAGAGGCGTGCAAAGTTAATTATGCATGCT